GCCCGCGGGACCCCGCATGCAGGCAGCGCCCGGGCCGCTCTCGCGCTTCAGGCCGCGCGGCGCGCGGGCCAGGCCGGGTGCGCAGCCGTAGGCTCCCCCGTCGACTTCAGGCGGCTCGGCCTTGACTGCGCGGCAGGGGGGCGCCAGTAGGAAGCGGCCGTGCAGCGCGGGCCCTGGCGGGGGTCCAGGGGGCGGCGGCGCGTCCAGCTCCGGACGCAGTAGCTCCGACACCAGGCCTCCCGCTGGGGCGCCGTAGGGCGGCGGGGCGCTGGGCTCCGGGTAGTAGAAGGCAGGAGGCGGCGGCGGCGGCTCCGGGGTAGCCTCAGTGCCCAGGCCGTCCAGCCCCATGGACAGGATGAAGTCCAGCACGCTGTTGAGGTCGTCGTCCGTGCCGCTGGCTTCAGGCTCGGGGCGCGGCCAGCGCTGCAAGGCGACAAGCGCAGGCATGAGCGCGTTGCTGCCTCCCCGCGCGCGCCCACTATCCCCGCTGCCCGGGCGTCTCAAATCCCACTATTCCGTGCTCCCCACAGCCTGGCTGCTTAAAGCCGACCAACCTCACTGCCTTCCGTCTCTGCTGTCCCTCGTGCCCGCTGTTCCTGCCACCAAATCCCACTGTTCCCCTCCCCGATTTTTTGCTGTCCCCGCCAACTGGATGCTGTTGTCCGGCTCCCTTTGCGCTCGCTGTACCTCATTCCTGGGAACTTCAAAACCCTGAGGTCCTGAGCTGGCTGTCCCCAACGCCCCTGACATACTTGCTGTCCCAACAATCTGTGCGCTATTGCTCCGCTGCCTCCCGCGCGGATTTTCCTGCCATCCCCGCCGCCTGCGTTCTATTGCCCCGCTGTGTCCGCTGTCCCCGCCGCCCGCACTTTGTTATCCGGCTGCCTCCCGCGCCCGCTGTCCCTGTCGTACCCTGTGGTCTCTGCCTTCCCCGCTGCCTCCTGCGCGTGCCATCCCTGCTCCCCGCTTTCTTACTGCCCCCTGCGCCCGCCGCCCCGGTGTCCCCGCCGCCCTCGTTCTACTGCCCGTGCCCGCTGCCAGGGCTGCCCCGGCCGCGCCCTCACCTCCTGCAGGCAGCGCTCGCGGCACGGGCTGGCGAACGTGGCGAAGGACGGCAGGATGGGCTCGCTCAGCGCCATGGCCCGAGCAGCG